TTCATGATGGTAAGTTCCTATAAGCTATAGAAGATTGATAAGAGTGCTCACACCAAGATGACAACACAACTGTTCACCTTTCCCTTCACTGCCCATGGGGGCCACAGACATGTTACATACAGTGGAGGCTATTGAATGGGGTGTAGCTATTACAGGGTGACAGCTCCGCTACTTGCTTCACTTGCCCCCTTTACTCCTCTCTTCCCTGTGGATGAGACATTGCATCCACTCCTGTTTAGATTTTGGCCAGAAAGCATAACTATATGGGGCAGATGTGTCCCAAACTCTATTTTCCTCCTTGTGTTGCTACTCAGACCTTCTGCTGCATTTAAAAAACAATAAAATAAATATGTGTGTATGTATATATATACAAACACAGACACATAAGAGCAAGAAAGTGAGTATAAAGGCTTTTACTCAGATATCCCAGGAAGAATTTTGGGATCTCTACTTTGTGATAGCTCTTCTTAAGCACCTCACTCATCATTCTTACCTTGGACAGTCACCCATCATGTTGTCCAGGAGACTGCAGAGGAGGAAAAATAGCCTTTGTAAGAAAACTAGGAAATGCAGGGGTTTTTTTTCTGTCTAAGCTTCTTCTGAGACAATACTTGATAACCTGAGCTGGCAAGCTTGCTGTCATGAAAAAAGGCACTCTCCCTTTTCCTCTTTGTTGCTATCTTGCACCCAGCAGTTTTCAAGAGGGCAGGGCTGAGCTGAAACTTGTGACAAATTGCTATTAATTGTGAATTAACTGTGCTGCACAGCCTCAGGGAGGGGGAGGATGCCCAAGCCTGGCAGGTTCTCCCTTCAGCTCTTCCCCGTTCTGTGCTGGAGGTCTGGAAGTCCACTTCTCTGCAGCTAGTGAAGGTGTTGCAAATTACTCCTGCAGTCACACACTTTTCTCCAAGCTGCCCTTCCTCACCTGCCTTGTGCCTTCTTGCTCCTCTAGCTCAGAGAATTGGTAGCTTTGAGGTAAATGACTTGTGCTTCCTGCACCTTGAAGGCATGTTCTCAAGGCACTGTACTTACTTAAATGTCTAAGAACTGAAATATAAAAAATATATACATATTAATGCATCTACCTGCCCGTTATTAGGATGATAAATTGTGTTCTGAGTCTTGCACCTGCTCAGAGCGCAGCTGTCACAGTGCTGGGGGAGCTATCTCTAAGACCAGCCCAAAGATGAGATAGCACTGTGGGAGGACTGGAAAACATGGAGTTTTCTACAGCTTGCTCTATGCTTCAATTTCTCCAGCTGGAAGAAAAAAAAAAAAAAAAGCAAAAATAAAAGCAAGCTCTGGACAGCTCACAGGTTCTTTAGATAACAACCACTAAGTCAAATGCTAATCAAGCACCACATTTAGCTGTATCTGTATCTAACTTTCTCATTAAAAATTTAGGATTCTGCAGACCCAGAACAGCCCCACAGAATGAACTGCCAGACTTGAATTTGCCCAATGCAGTACTGACTGCACCCATTCAGGATAACTGTTACATTAAGACAAACATTCCTCCACCCAGTAGATCTCTTTCTTAAATTTTGCCTCTCTGTCTGCATCACTGGAGGCATAGCTTCACCTCTGTGGCAGGCTCAAAGTGCAAGCCTGAACAGAGTTTTGCCAGTAGCCTACAGGGTTCAATGTGAGTTGTGCATGGAGTAGGCTTAGAAAGATAGGAGTGGTGCTGCTGCACTGAATTCCTAAGATAGCTCTGACAGTTATGTCAGCATTTTCATTCAAAGGCACGAAATAAGAAGTGCCTGCAGAAATGTGTAGAGAAACCTCTGAAGAATAACTTTGATAGTCCTCAGTATGGTAACTTGTAGGTATTAAAATTTAATCATTGGATCTTATACTATAGCTACTCTGCATCACAGCTGATCAGAACGTCCTAACACTACAGTTCACAAAAGGGGCATCTCCACAAGTGCGTGCGAGAGAGTTCTCTTCTTACATGGAACTCCTTTTGTCTCGCATTCTTAGAGAAACTAGTCACAGATAAAACATTCCAAACTTTGGAAAAGCAAGGCACTCAGATCCCCTAAGGTCTAATTTGCATCACATATTTAAACCCATTATATAACAAAAATTCGAATCCCTTTTTTTTTTTTTTTCCATACAGCTTCTTTTTTGAGGATGAATAAAGCAACTTTTCCTATTAACAAATTAAGCTGAATAAGCATCTTTCAGCAGTAAAATACTATTCCAATGTCCTGGGCCTACAGAGCTTGGCACTTCTATCTCCCTTTTGGAAACACAGCAGCTCTAAAAGCATCTTTAGACTTCATTTTGTCACCGTAGCCTTCCCTTCTCTGTCATCACAAAAGTTCTTCAGCTTGTAAGTGAGACCTCCTTACTTCTGCAGCTAAAAAGGACAAGGCATCTCAGCAACAGTTTGTCACCCTGGACCTACAGGGCTACATCACTATTGTAAAGGCCGATCTTAATGTGCACCTACACAACGTGCATCAGCAGTGCCAGACTGCCTTCTTAATGGCATTGGCACTTCGCTGTAGCTAAAGATTTCAGAGGGAAATAGTCTCACTTCAGATTTTTCTGCTTAAAAAAGGCTTACAGACATTGTACGTCCTCCTAAGGTGTAATGTAAAACAAAGATCAAAGCATTGGTCCTAAAACTTTCCAGTTTTCCTATATAAACAGGATTAAGTAGGTAAAAGTTGAAAAAGTGAGATTTCTTTCCACTTCTCTGCTCCTTGCCCTCAGCTATTTATCAGCTATTTAATATTCCAAAACAAAAGCTAAACAAGGCAAAACATTGCTTTCATGTGCCTACAAAAAGACTGATGACTATGAAAGAGGAAATAGTTGAAAACTCAAGAAAATCTCTTAGGCTTCCCATTTCCAAAACTGAAATTGTACCACTTTATGGAATTAAGCTTTTCGTTTAGAATTTTATAATCAAAACATTCATAGGAAACTTTCCCATGCTTTTCCCTTGAAACATTTTCAGAGGGAAACCTCTCCCTATTTTGCACATTTATTAAAAGAGGAGGACAAGAGAAAAGCAAAAGGTACAGCGCTTCTCTGTACCTGCCTTTTACATTTGTGCTTAATGTTGCCAGATGCCCTTCTGACAACATTTAAGACAAAAAGGAAGAACACGAAAGGCCTGGAAAAGAGGAAGTGAGGCAGTAAGATGTTTCTCATGCAAAATCGTAGTCATTGGCAATAACAACACACTGGGACTGGATGATACCAGCCTATTATTTAACACAACTGAAAAACAAATGAAACGGAGCCCCAGTCTTCTTCCTTCACTACATATGAAAAATCAGATGTGTTGCTAGCAGTTACAACTCCTGTGTGTTGTGCAGTCCAGAACAAGCAAAAGACAACCAACAAACAGTAACACCAACAATCCCTTAGCAACAAGTCTTTGGCTTTATGCTGTCCCATGGACTTCCATCTAATATGTACAGTATATAAGTCCATGGGGCCAGGTGATATCCATGCTAGGATTCTGAGAGAGACAACTGATGCTGTTTTGCTGAGCTGCCCTCCATCATATCTGAAAAATCATGGCTGTCCTGTGAAGTCCCTGGTGACTGGAAAAAGGGAAACATTACTCCCATTTTTAAGAAAGGCAGAAAGGAGGACCCAGGGAAACTACAGGCTGGTGAGTCTTACCTCTGTGCCTGGGAAGATCATGGAGCATTGTGGGCAACCCCCCTCCCTACCTCCCTCCCTCCCTTCCCCACGTGTCCCTCCATAATAGGTTTGAGGCCCTGGATAATGAGGAGAGGTAGGTGAGGATGTAATGGAAGGCCCACCTATCAGGTCAGATGGGAAGAGGCAATTGACACGATGTTTCAAGACTGCCTCCAAGAAGAAAGCAAGAAGGGTAATTGTAGTAGGCAATTCCTTGCTGAGAGGAACAGAGGGCCCAATATGAAGAGTTGACTCTCACCATAGGGAAGTCTGCAGCCTACCTGGTGCCCAGATCAGGGATATCACCAAGGTGCTCCCCAGCATTCGACAGACTGCTGCCTGCTACTGATCTTCCATAGGAGTGGGTAGGAAGATGCATCCCATGGTCTGAGGGGAATATAATAAGACTTCAAGGCCTTGGGCTGGTCGGTGAAAGATTCTGAGGCGCAAGTTATTTTTCTCTTCTTCCATTTTTGGGTGAGTTCTGTCCAGTGACAGATGAGGAATGAGTTGAGTTTGTGGGTGAGAATTAAGGGGCAGGCTGGCATAGGTGATATTCTTGTGGGTGTCTATTACAGGCCACCAGATCAGGACAAGGAAGTTGATAAGGCCTTCTACAGGCAGCTGACAGCAGTCTCACAATTACAGGCCCTGGTGATTATGGGGGGTTTTTAACTACCCCGATATCTGCTGGAAAGCATGCTCAGCCAGCCATCCACAGACCAGGAGGTTCATCTACTGCGTTGGTGATAGCTTCCTGATGCAAAAGGTGGATGAACCAACTAGGGGAGGAGTGCTGCTGGATCTTGTTCTCACTAATAAGGAGGGTCTGGTTGAAGCAGTGAACGTCCAGGGCAGCCTTGGTTGCAGCGACTATGAGGTGATGGAGTTCAGGACCTCATGTGGCTAGAACAGAATACCAAGCAGAATCACAACCCTATACTGCAGGTATCATGGCAACAGTCAGCAGTGCTGGTTGCAACCCTTGCTCCCCCATCAGAGGCCTCCCCTCAGCCCCAGCATATTGCTCAAGCTGTAAAAGCAAAGGTCCAATACAGGGCTGGGTGTCCTGGAAATTGTTTCCTTCCTTCTAAAACTGAACTGATTGAAAGAATATGGACTGTGCCCTCTGTAAGCCACAATCCACCAATATCCTTAGAGGCATTACACCAATTTAAAAAAAAAAAAAAAAAAAAAAGTAATACTTTTAAAAAGACTGAAACAACTTTACTCATCAAATCCAGACTTGCTGACTTTTTCATTTTTTATCTAGATTATCAAGGTTTTTGCCTGAGTTTACTACAATGTAAGGATTAAGCATACAAGCATTTTGTGATAATCCTAAATTTTATTGGTTAACATTAATACTAAAATGATGGCTATTTTAAAAAGTCAAATAAAAACAACATACAAACAACATATACGTATGCACACACACACCAGAATACCTTAACACAATTGCACTCTCATCAGTTTTCTGTTGCATCAGAGATGATACTTCAGTATGTTACAAATAGAAAGTCTTAATTCAACTTCCACAAGTCAAGTTATGCTTGTTATAAAAAAATACTTAATTTTTTTAAAAAAAGCAATCCTCAAGTTCAGAAGCAGTCCTTGGTATGTTAACTGCACAGAAAACACCTTTTTGGGGGGCAACTATAAAGCATAGAAGGAGCAAGTAATTTCTGAAGCAAATTCTTATCCAGCAGGAACAGACTGGCTTCCTGATCCCCACGTTGCTTTTGAACATGTATGTGCAGTCCCTCAGCTCAGATTCCCTTTCTTTTTCTCTTTTCTTTTCCAATCCCTTATCTTGTAGAGATACATGCTCCAGAAATTTCAAGTTTCTCAAACGTTTTCTTGAATCATCTTTCTTCAGCATAGGTAATACAACCTGTACATGTAATGCAACCCACAGATACAATAACAGCTCATTGCTACACCAGCCCTGGTTTACAAACTTATGGAAGACTTAGTGAGCGAAAAGGAGTTGTGTTACAGCAGTGTGTCTGTTCTGGAAACTCATCCCCAGGACTTCCTACGGTATTCTGTATGGCACAAATACAGTAAGCACTACTGACCTTTTTAAATTCACAGGAAAGCACTTCAGAGTTAAAGCGTACATCCGGAGAGGGAGACTACAGTGATATAAATGTCATTTGTAAGAAAGTTTCTAAAATAAATAAATAATAGTACTTGAGCGCAGCTTCCTTTACATAATGTGCATTGACAGTGCAAACCAGCCTTCTTCTTTTTGCTTTTCTGCCTGCAAAAGAGGAAACAAGTTGAAATTTATACATCATAAACTTCCCACAGATTTGCTAGTTAGCACTGTTTCCCTGATAGGAAGCAATTTTCTGCCACAGACACCGCAGGGATGGTCACACCACCACCTTTAGAGACCTTGCTTAAGTCACACTTATCACCTTCAGTATTCTGAAGCACCTTTATGTTTACTTCTCTATTAGGATATAAACTTTAGGACTCCTAATTTAAGTTACTTTGGACATCAGGAAAGCCAGTATTAATATCCCCTCATGGTTGCTACTAACAGAGCTGTGAATGTTTTACCAGACTATACTACTATCTGGATTTCCATGTGAAAGCACCTCTCTGTAGTCTACTCTTCTTGGAAATCAGGAATTAGAAATCCATACTCATTATCTTCTTTCAGGTTGGATTTATTTAACTTTCAGACTTGCTAGGTAAGAGTTTCCTTGACTCTTAAATGTAGCTCCATCAGTACATTATAAAGATTACTTGAAATTCTCTGGAGCCATAAGTCTGACAAAGTCTGACAGAGGTTCCCAGTTCTAACACAAATAGATGCCACAGCAGAAAAAAACAGTTACAGGAATACTCACTTGTAAGTAACAGCTCCGTGGTAGCAAACAACTCATGTCACTAGCACTCAGGCCTCCCTTTATCAGTTATCCAGAATCCAGACTGCTATGAATCTATTACCATTAGCATCAGTGCATCCAAAGTAGGACTGAGTTCCTCCCTCCTCTGTATCTGTCTTACATTCTATCTATGTAGCACAGCAATCAAGCCTTCTAGCTGAAGATTCTTCTGTCTTACCTTTGGCCTCTGACTGACAGGATTTAACGTCACACTTTCTGATGTGGTACTTAGGGGTGAAGAAGGTTTGCTAGAGCCTCCTACAGACCTGCAGATGTTAAAAATGAGATTGAAATATTAAAAACATGGAAGTGACTATCAGAATCACGTCTAGGATGCTGATTTAGGACCCCTCATCAATAGCCAACAACCCATGGATAAGTCTTACATGACTCTACAGGTATTTTAAATACAGACAATGAAAGTTGAAGATGCTATCGGATGTTTGTGCCATTTCTAAAGAGTAGAGTTTGATAAGTCCATGAAAGTGGACTAGAAAGTCCACGAAGCCAAAAAATATATATGATTATATTTCATAAGAGTTCTCCGTGTACGTAATCAAGTGAATACAGAGATAAAGCAGTAAAAGGTCAACATCTACCTTCTCATAGTGGTCACACTGCCAGGGGAAACACTGTCTTCTTTGGAGCTGTCCACAGAAGCTGCCACAGGAACAGACACTTCAATTGTCCTCCTTGCATTTTCTAGGCAAAGAAGTAATAGCTTGAGTTTGATGAGACCATTCAAAATTCCATGGAATACACAGAGCAAACATACAACATCAGGCTGAAGGTCCTTTCAAACCCACATCCACTCTCTGAAAAAGACAGTGCATTAGTCAGCAGGTTTAAGAAGTGAGATTTCTCTACTTCTTGTCCTTTACATTCTGCTTTCCATGCTGATTTATGTTACAACAGCCACAGAAGCATTAAAAGTGTTGTGCATGCCATTACATATGGTTACATATGCACCTACATGCACGTGCACACACAGGATCTCCCCTCCTCCTCCTTCTTCTCCACCCTCAAGTCCTTCCCTGGAATACATCCTTTATACATCCTCTAGGTTTAGGAAGCAGGAAAGTCTGGGTCCTACACAGAGCACATGTGAACATGCTGACACAGTTCTGCCTGTAATTACAGTAACTCCACAAAAAAAGATTAAGACGACTTAATCTACTGGAAGGTATTTTTCTTTGTAGTTTCATATGGCAGCTCATCTAGGGCTCTTGAATCAGCAAAAACATCCCCTTCACTAATTCATCTATTCACATGACTAGAAACATCAGTTCTTTCTTTCTTTTAGCACAGGCAGTAACTTAGCAAAGTGAAACAGCACCCAAAAGACCAAAACATGGTTGAGATACAGATAATCACTCTGTCATCACTTTTAGAAGCTTGATGTAAATACTTAGTATTTTCAAAAAAAAAAAGATTGCCCATCAGAAAATACTGATGGAAATGCTGCAAGAAGAATTAAAATATTGAGAATGTGAGACACTGAGAACTGCCCTGCTGGCTGTTGGCAACAAAACACAGTTCTGCCCTTCAGTCACTGCACAGCAGAACTGTTCTGCAGACAAGGGCACAACAAAGAACAAACTGACCATGAATCATAACATTTGCACTGAACTAGTTGCTAGGAAACTAACTTCAGGAGAAGTTCAGCTGGTGTATCTTGCATAACTGTCTGAAATCCATCACCTCTAAAATGAGGGGTGCTTGTAGCATGCAAACACTGATAGAAAGCACGTTGCTGACTGTGTCTGCTGATCCAATCAGTTAAGGAAGAGACCTCCCACAAAAGGGAAAGAACATTTTACTAGGTTTTTGCTCCTCCTGAAGCTGGGTACTTACCAGTACAATTTCGGGATGCGGGCAGAACTGGAGATATTCTCTGAGAGACTGTATCAGCAGCAGCTAATTTCTGCTGATCTATTAGCTGCAGCAGTTTATCACGTGCTTCTGTGCTCTGACGATTCAGCTCTGCTATTCTTTCCTCCAAGCTCTTCGGTACCACAACATGAGCCTACTTAGATAAATGGATAATTACTTCTAATTAAAAACTTAAGATGACTAAACACAACGTTTTAAAACAGGTCTTCCTACAAATAGGAAGAAGAGCTCATCTGTATCATTCCAAATAACAAAACAAAGACAGAAAACCTACAACCCTCCAGCAATTAACTACAGTTAAGAAAATGTTTAACCAGAAAGCCATGCATTCAAGTGCAAATGTGGAAGAAAAGCAGATTTCTAGCAGAACTATCTTGCAACTCATCTTTAAATCAGGTTTTCATCCATGTGACCCCTTCCCCTCCAGTAATTATTTTCACAAAAACATTTTAAAAGTTTGCATCCTCGTACAACTGAATTCCTGAACGTTACACAACGTAACACAATGCAGAAAGTGACCACATTCTCAGCCTACATTTAAAATGAGGAAATTTTATATCTTTAATCTTATATCTTTAACTGAACAGCAATTCAGATGAAAGAAGAACAGACAATAAAAAGTACAGGGATTGGGCATTTTTGTGCTGTTAACTCCACTCACTGGGGTGCCACTGAATAGCTGTTTAGCTGCAGATTAAATATATCCTGTGTGAACTGAAGCCTAGAAATTCTTTCCCAAAAATGTTGGGATTTTCACTGCACAATAGGACAAGACAGACCCAAACAGATATATCTACTAGTTTCATGTATTCACAAGATATTAAGCAAAATAAATTTCAAGAGCTTTTACATCACAGTAGCAGAAAGGACACATGGTGTGGGATCTGTGGGTTGATGCAGTGTTTGCACTGTTAATATTATCTGCTGTCATTTCATTGTTAATATTATCCAAGCTACAAGAGACATGCAGTAATCTCTCTCTGTGCAGCAGAACCTTATTTAAACACTTATAAACCCGCCCCACACTTGGAGATTTTAAGCATTCATATATAACATAGGCCCAACATTAGAAATTACTGTTGACCTCAGGGAACAGTAAAATCAAAGTCTCCAAGTGAATGAATGAACATTTGTTCTGCTACTCTTCTTAAAGAAGAAACAAGGAAGAAACACTTATAACACCAGTAAGCTAAGGGAAAGCAGATGCACACAAAAGGGAATCCAGCCTTCCTTTTTTTTTTTTTTTTTTCTTCTTTTTTTAATTCTCACCTGCCCTTGTGAAGAGTCTGGACAAGAATTTGAATTCTGTATTGGGTCTGGCTGAGGCAGACAGTCACTTATGTCTTCAGAGAAGCTTCTGAATTTGCTCAGCTGAGCTTTAATTAATGAGTTCTGCCGTGTGAGCTCAGCTATCTGTCCCAGGAGATCACTGCTTTGAGAGAACTCTCCAACTGTGTCATTTTTGGTAGCGTCAGCAGGGCAGGACAAAGTGATTTTCTCTTGGGTACTCTGCAAGTCTTTGTCTGCAGGAGGAATTGGTTGCCTTTGAGACATGAGACAGTTTTCTCCAGTCACGCTCCACGTTTTCAGGGGGGAAGGTGAGCTCCTCTCCTTGCATGGCTCTCTCACAGTGTTTTCAGCAGGCTGAGAAACAGCTGTAAATACTACAGACAAGAAGTAAAGGAATAGTTCTGAATTAGCCCTCCATTTTCCACAATCCAATTATCTTACTCAATTAACTACAAATCTGCATTTTCCTTCTGCTAGTTATTTGGGCTGGTAACAAAGCTTTTGGAATAGTACAATATAATAATACAAGGCTTCTATAATAACAACAAACCATTTACCAACCCATTAAGCATGCTGGGCAACAAATATAGTTGGATATTTTTGTGGTCATCATTAGCAAATTCTGAACACACCACACACATGACCACCATGCAACCTATGGACATCCTGCTTTGTCCCTGCTTTGTCTGCAGAACAGGCTGATTTCTAGTACTCCATGGTTCCATAGGTGAATACAGAGAAAGTATTACTCCATCAGCAGATGGAGATCAGAGACAATGTGCTGTAAATCACAGAGAGAGAACTACAGCAAATCAAAAAATCAGTACGAGATAAAAATCTCAGTCTGCACTGCCACTGATAAGCCTATAAATGGAGAACTGTAGGAGACAGAAAGTCTAAAGGAAATCTAGCAGGCACAGAAAGAAAAGAAAAGCCCTGGGTGCAGAAGCAAGATATTCCAGCTATAGGGCCAAGGTGTCTGGGCAGAATAAAATAAGAGAAAATAACTCCAAAGGTAATATGAGCCTCAGACATTGAAATAGTAACACACTACACAGACTTCCAAATCTACTTTAGCCAGAGAGATCTCACTGTTCTGGAAGGGAGACAATTCCGGACTGTCCTTCTGTCGGGGTGGTGACAACAGTACAGCTGGCTGGAAGACCTGAGCTGGCCAGCTTCTACCTGCTGCCGCATCACCTGGGGCACATGGCCTCTGAGGAGTCCTGACAGGGTGTTCTTCCTGTGGGAATTTCAGCATATTCTTCCTTTCGCCTTCATCAGTCCTGGATTCAAAATAGCTCAGATCAGGTTTTTCTAAAGGAAGAGATGAAGCAGGAGCAGAATTTAAAGAATAGCAGAATAGTTAGTGCAAAACCTGTGTAAAGAAAAATCTCAGTGACAATTCTTATGTTTAGGTATCTGGAAAGACACACTAGAGCACATTCCCAACACAATCCCAGCTTTCTTCTGATCTCCCCAGGTACAAAACTTTCACTGGGTTTAAGAGAGTGGGGAGAAAAAAAACCAACAATGCTATTATACAAATTCTGCTCAGAAAGTTATGCTTCCTATTTTCTTCTGTTGGCCCACAGTGCCAGAGATAGATGTTGATGGTATGGCAGCAGAGGCTGAACCTTCTCACCAACACCGTTATGTGTTATTGCCATGTAACAGATAGCAGTAAGAGGGGCAGCCTGACAAAATGGTGCCTGACATAGAAATGCAAACGAAGCAAAGGGGTGTCGTTAATTCCTCCTTGCAGAAACAAAGGCACACACTGACATTCACTGACATTTGCTGAACATTTATGGAGACCAAACAGTGGATCTGAGCACAGTGAGGTGGCGGGTGGTGCATTTCAACAGTGGTCATTGTGCCAGTGCAGATTTTGACAAGCATGGCATACAGGCTCTTGTTCATTGCTGGCAAAAATGCACAGCTAATGGTGGTGACTATGCTGACAAGTAGTATTTTGTAGCTGAGAACTGGCTCTATCAAGCAGCATTATTGAGCTCTTCATATCTGTAGCATTTCCACAGGAATAAGTAGGAGGTGTTACTTTCAAAGCAATCTATGTACATAACCTCCCCACTTCAGGATACTAGATAGAGATCTGTTTGTAGCCCATGCATGAGATGTAAAAACACATGACTTGTGAGGCACAGGTATGTAAGTAAGCTGCATTTGGTAATATGCTCAGGAGAGTAAATATACACTATCCCTGTTCATGGCAGAGTGGAGAAAAATTCAAAGCTTTTTCGAACTCTCTGGTGCTCTTATTATGACTTAATTCAAATCAAAACATCTCTCCAGTAAAGAGATGAGCTATTCCTCAGTACTTAACTAAAACTAGTTTGTGTATCATCTACACTGAACATACCAGGAAGGTATGAAATGCACAAACTCAAAGCTGCAGCTAGCTGTGAGACCACAGTAATTTTAATATACTTGTATGCACTGCTTCCTTAGTGCTACGTTTGAATTATCCCTTCATGATTTTGCTCAGGATATTTGTTCCCAATAGTAAAGTTACTGGAAATTCAGGGAGAACACACGTGATCCCAAAATACAAGAGACAAAAAGCACTCTGTAAAGCAAAGAGCCAAAAGGAGCTGTTTGCCTAAGATACTGTTTATGGTTCATATTACTGAGATGGAATCTAAGATCTTCCACTCGCTACATAATGACCCTGGCAGGCGATAAGAAAGATGTTCCTCCTCTGCTTTACCATACAGAACTGCATTTCCAAAGCATCCTCCTCATAAGCTCCTTTTCATCACAATATTTCTCCTGATTCTTCCTTCAGCCATTCTTCCTCACTCCAGGGAAGTTTGTTGTTAGCTTTTTTTTTTACTGCAGAAACTATGCATAAACTCTCTTTAATATTCTACAACCAGATAGAAGCCTTAAGGGTAGAAGAATGAAGAGTTCAGCACTCAAAAGGAAGAAATACTGTTCCAAATTCAGGAAGCTTCTCCCTCAGGAAGATGCCACTTTCTGAGAAGAGAGATCAGAAAGGAAGAATTTTTGCCAACCTGTTAAATATGAGTTAATGGTGGTTTTTAGAATTTTTTTGTTATCGTTATTAATTATTACAAAGCTGAGGGAAGTCACACAAAGACATGATCTTGTTTGTGGCTTCTCCTTGAGAACACTACAGAAATAGTCAGAAAGAATGTTTTTGACTGTGATGTTTACACCTCATGAACAGCATTTAACTAAGGAATACAAAACGCTCCAAGCAATCACAGATTCACAAGAATGTACTGACCTTGAGAGCAAAAATGATAGATTGAAATAAGTGATCAGAAAAGATGAACGGGGAAAAAACACAGTTGTAAAGGAATATTAGAAGTATAAATTCGGTTAGTTTGGCCATGGATGCCACTAGGTTAACTTTGCCTGTATATATATACATTACATATCTCTCAAGTGGTCATTCACCTCTGATATAATTCACCAACATCAAATAACAGCCTTGTGCTTGATTGCTTCACAAATCAAAGCAACTGCTGTTTCTGGTCAGCAGCGACCTCCAGCGTTTAATGGAAGAACCAATCTCAAACTATCAGTATGCCTCAGCAACAGAAAGGTGGAATCCAGGATCCTGCTTCAGATGGATTTTTTTTAATTTTTTTTTTTTTGTTAAGACCCTCAGAACAAACCTGACCTTATATCTTATTGGGGTAAGGAAAAGGATGCCCCTCATTTGTTGGGAAAGGCTACTCCCCTTCTGCCTCTTTTTTTGTACATGACTTGTCACTAAAATGTCCAGAGTTCTTTATATGGATAACTTTCAAGTCCAGACTGAGACAGATGGAATTCAGCATACAATAATAAATAAATAAATCTAAAAAAATAAATAAATCTGTAGATAAGTGCTTATGCTTGCAGCAGAACCCACAGCATATGACTTTCCAGAAGTGAGATTCAAGTTCACAGGACGCATTTATTCAAACAGACATCTATTAACCACCACGTTTTCCACTGTAAGAATAAAAGTAGCCTCTCATTTCCTTCACACATGCATACACATTACCTTGGGTGCATGACGGACTTTTGTGTGCAATTCCAAAATGGCATGGACTTAAGTCTTCTCTCCTAGATTCTATCAAAGGGAGGCCTTTAAATGCTTGTGTGAGAGAGGTCATCTTTTCATCTGTTTCGATCATGTACTGCTGAAGCTTTTTCTAAGGAAAAAAAAGAGACAGATTTTTATTCTAGCAATATGAATCAGAGAACTATAGATTGCAAGCAGCACTGAGAAGAAATCTGGCCTCTTGTCTCTGCATGAATTTGTGAGATTGCAGTGAGGTATGAATTATCCATGTCTCTACATTTATCCTTTATTTTTTTCTCTTGGATCAAATAAATTCTCAATTTTCCTTTTCCTTATCATCTCATTTCTTCTCCAAAGTTGATTTATTGCTCCAATTCCAGACGTAAACAATAATCTGCCATCACTGCAAACTGAAAAAAATGAGAATGTAGTACTATGTTTATTCTGTTTCACAGCTCTAGTAGCTGCAGATGTGGATCATTAGATTGTATGTAATGAAAAAAAGGTCAGCTGCAGGGAATGAGCATTTTCTCAGGAATTAAAGTTAAACATTATAAAGATAAAATGTTTACAAACATCCCCGTCCCATAGCTGACATTCTCAGACTCCTTATTTAATTTTATCATTTTATTTCCTGAACATACAGACAATGCATCTCAGTCTATATGCTTGCAGCAAAACTCACTGTTCTAGCAAGTTGGAGAAAGGGGCTTAGTACCTGCATAGCAATGTTTTCTTCCCTTACTAGAAGTATTTCAGCAGTCAGAGCGTCAATTAGTTCTCTGTGCTCATTCAACATCTCTTCATGATGCTGCCTCATCATCTCTTTCTCATGCAGTTGCATTTCACTCTAAGCAGGGAGAAAAAGTTAAAAGCCTATGATAGAAATTAATATTTGAAAACAGGAATGACTCACACACATTATTCTGTAACAGCTCTTCCCACTGTTGTTTGACTGACTGCAGTACCTTCACTACAAAATCCGATTTCCAGTGTTTGAGAACCCTCAGTGACCTTACTGTTGTTTGTTACTCCACAACACCAGAGGGAATCCTTTAAATCCTTGCAACTTTTATAGGCTGAAACAACAAAGGCAGAAAAAAGCATCTTCCTCCCCAAAAAGACATCATTTTTTAAGGCACTGAATCTTCTCCATGTAGAAATGAAATAATTCTGGGTACACCAATGCTTGTCACTATCCTTTGCTACCCTGTTCCTTATCTTCGTCTTTCTTAATTCACTAATAAAGACAGATTTGACTAAACAAAAGAGAAAGCACTAGCTCAGTGTTTGCTCTCATAGAGAAAAAGTTCTAAGTTCCCTTTTTTTGTACGGTTTGTTTTTTTAAAAAGAAAAGCGTTGAGGAATCTACTGGAACACAAGGCAAAAAGACCTCACTGTAAAGAATCATTCACCCTCAAAAGACACAGTTGATCTACAATTTTTTAAGGTAGGTACAGCAGCAGACAGGCTTCCTGTACATGACAAAACACCCGAGACTCCCTCCCACCCCTACTGAGTACACAAACCACACGACTGCCATTTTTACCCCAGCTAGCGGAGCAGATGCTTTACAGAGCATCAGATACATCAGAATTAGGAAATGAGCCCATACCACAAATGGTAGCCTGCATCTACTCAAAGAAATTCTTGAATAAAAGACATACATCCCATCTCCAAAAGGATCCTGAAAAGCAGTTTGGGTCCTCTTCTCTGTGCAGGCAGAATTACAAGAGCTGCCTGTCAAGGACTGTAGATTATTTATTATTAGCATCGCTATCAGATGTGGAAAAACACCAAGCATGAGGGCAAACCAGCTCTGCAGCTACAAAGAACGAATGAAGGAGTAGATATTTTTGAGAATAAACCGAAGTAATTGTTACTAGAGACACTCAGATACATCCCACCTAAGCCAATCAGATGGTCTAACCATTTTCTAGTTCTCTTCCAGGTTGAGAGAACAGATTTTTCACACTGATGCAAGTGCAGCAAACTGATGTAGCAAATGTAAACAAACATAACCCTACCTTTTCAGAAACCAGAGAAAGCACAAAATAAGAACTCCAACCCTGGCAGCAGTGATGAAGCCTATATGGATGCCTCCAAGTGAGTGGAAGAGCTACTGCAACTTCTAACAATACAATGATAGTGAATTTTATTTAGTTAATTTAGTTAAATTAGTCTAAGAGGAAAAGATTCCACACAGATATGCATCTTACATTTATGTATGGGGAGACTGTCAGCTAACTACTATGTATATCATCATAACTGCTTATATTCCTATCATCAGACAGAATGTAAGTCTGCTATATCCTGAAAGAACTGTCTTCATTCCAGCCTACTGCCAGGAGTACCCCTAATCACATAAACTTGTTTTAACACTGCAGCAGAATACACAGAAGCACAGACAGAGAACATATGAGTATGCACACATTACATGAATGCACCTTGCTATGTATTCATCCCGTGTCTTGCGAAGGAATAATGTCTTGAAGAATGGCAAAGAAAAAAAAAAAAAGTAAGATTCTAACATTCTATAGAATTGTTATGGTTGGAAAAGACCTTTAAGATCATCTTAGCCCAACCATCAACTCATCACCATATCACCATCATGCCCACATTACTCAGTGCCACATCCACCCTGTTGTGGGAACGGTGGATAAACCATCTCCCTGGGCAGCCTGTTCCAATGCTTCACTCTTCTTTCTGAGAAGACATTTTTTCCTAATATCAAAATGGAAGCTCCCCCAGTGCAACTTAAAGCCATTACTTCTCATCCTATCGTTGTTACCTGAGAAAAGAGACCGACTCCCACCTTGCTAAAACCTCTTTACAGGGAATTGTAGAGAGCAGTAAGATATCCCCTGAGCCTCCTCTTCTTCAGTCCCACTTCCTTCAGCCGCCCCCCATCAGACTTGTGCTCCAGACCCTCCACTAACTTAGCTGCCCTTCTCTGGACACGCTCTCAGGGCCTCAATGTCTTTCTGGTAGTGAGGGGCCCAGAACTGAATGCAGTATACAAGGTGCACTTGAGTACAGGGGAGACAATCACCTCCCTGGTCTGCTGTCTACATTATTTCTAATACCAGCCAGGATGCCCACTGACTTTCTTGGCCAACTGGGCACACTGCTGGCTCACACTCAGCTTGCTGTCAACTAACATACACAGATCCTTTTCCTCCCACACAGCTTTCTGCTCCAAGCCTGTAATGATGCCTGGGCCAGCCTGCTGTTTTAACCAAAACACAGGACCCGGTAACTGATCTTGTTAAAAGGTCATACAATTGGCCTCAGCCCATCAATTCAGACTATCCAGATCCCCCTGCAGAGCCTTTCTACCCTCAGGAAGATCAACACTTGCTCCCAACTTCACATCATCTGCAAACTTCTGTGTGTGTACTCAATCCTCTAGTTCACATCATCAATAAAAATAATAAACAGGGCTGACCCCAATACTGACCTTTGAGGAATACCACTAGTGACCACTCACCAGCTGGATTTAACTCCATTCATCATCACCCTCTGGGCCCAGACATCCAGCCAGTTTTTTACCTAGCAAAGAATACATTTGTCCAGCTCCAGCCATGAGCTGCCAGCACCTCCAGGAGGATGCTGTGGGAGACACACACAGTGTCAAAGGCTTTACTGAAGTCCAGGTAGACTATGTCCACAGCTTCATCCACTAGGCAGGTCATCTAGTCATAAAAGATGAGGCTGGTCAAGTAGGACCTGCCTTTCATGCTGGCTACGACTGATCCCTTGGTTGTTCTGCGCTTGCCACATGATCACAGTCAAGATGATCTTCTCCACAAGCTTTTCGAATACTGATGTCAAGCTGACAGGACTGTAGTTCCCCTGATCCTCCTTCTGACCCTTTCTCTAGATGAGCATCATATTTCCAAGTCTCCCACTATCCGGGACCTCCCCAGTTGACCAGGACTGCTCATAAATGATGGAAACAGCTTAGCAATCACTTCCACCAGCTCCCTCAGTACCCTCAGATGGATCCGATCTGGTCCTATGGATTTGTGACAGTCCAGATCAAGTAGCACGTTGCTAAACTGTTTCCCCTTCTGAATTACGGAAAGCTTATTCAGGTCCCCATCCCTGTCTTCCAGCTCAGAAAGCTGAGTACTCTGAAGACAACTGGCCTGACTATGAAAGACAGCAGAAACCACTGAGAACATAAACCTTTTCCTTGTCTTCAGTGATAATGTTCCCTGCTGCACCAAATAAAGGTGGGAGGCTCTCCTTGGCCCTCCTCTTGCTGTTTATATATTCATAAAAATATTTTTTGTTATCTTCAATGATCATGGCCAGATTAAGTTCTTGCTGGGCCTTTCTAATTTTCCCCATGCATACCACAGCAACATCCTCATCTGAGTAGACTAACCTTTCTTCCAAAGATGGTAAACTCTTTTTTCCCCCAGACTATCAGCAAAACCTCCTTGTTCAGCCAGGACAGCAGATGACATTTAGTCTTATTTAGGAACCCATGTTCAGATCTTTAATGAAGATATTTAAAAGAACTGTTCCAGGTATTGAATCCCTGGACACATCTTTCGTGATCAGCCTCCAACTGGATATAAATCCATTCACCACAATTCCTCGGGCCCAGGCATCCAGGCAGCTTTTTACCAGGAGAACTGCACACCTGTCTAAGCCACAAGCCATGAGTTTCTCCAGGAAAAAGGAGCAGCCCGTAGTCGGCAGGATTCGAACCTGCGCGGGCAGAACCCAATGGATTTCTAGTCCATCGCCTTAACCACTCGGCCACGACTACTGCACGTCATGGGTGTGCACCGTCTGCCTCGAGGAACAACAAAGACAATCAAGCACACTTCGTAGCTTGAGTAACTGCTGCCCATTTCTACTTATGAATTTGGAGTACACTTTTACAAGCTGAAGATGATTTTGCATGCAATCAATCAACTCCTGGAAGGAAGAAATGACAACACATCTATCAGATTAAAAAAGAGGTACTTAGTAAAAATTAGAAACACAGAGTCAGGATACGTCTTTCACAACACAGTAGCCTCGACAAAAACTCAGATTCCTTGGCCTTTAAGATGTATTGGATGATTACTTTATAGATGTCCTATCTTTCTTTCTTAGCTGCTACATTTAAAATTCATAAGCAGTTTTGAAAGAATTATGAAGATTGGCATTAACTTCTATGGAACATTAAGAGAAACTAAATAGTGCTATAAATGCAATTACAGCGTGAATTTGATGCTAGCAACTTGATGTTTTCCTACTAAATTGGGATCTCTCCCTCTATAGTCCAAAAATGTCCTTCCCTGTAACTGCACAAACTCTAAATTTATTACCCTGCTCAAGCATTGCAACTTTAACAAAGAATGAGTGTTAAGAGCTGCATTTAAAACATAAGCTCTTCTCAGCCAAGACCCATCGTCTGGAAATAGTGGTTTCTCACTCCCAAATTGAATATTTACTGTTTGCTTGCAACACAGGTCTTAATCAAAGTAATTTCTTGCATGTAAATTGAATACTGCGTGGCACAGGAGTAAGTTACTGCACATCCCTACAGGAATTAAACATATAAATAGAATTTCGATTTTTTTTTTTTTTTTTTTTTTTTTTTTTTTGTATCATTAAACATCCTGAGAAAGATTTTAAAACATTTTTTTCCAACAGTTATACAGTTTGAAGAGGAACTAGAAGAGGACTTCTTACATGGGCAGGTAGTGATAGGGCAAGGGGGAATAGTTTTAAACTAAAAGAAGAGATTCAGATTAGATGGTCTTGAGGATACTCTTTACTCAGAGAGTGAAGCATTGGAACAGACTGACCAGAGAATCAAAATCACCAAGGTTGGAAAAGACCTCC